TTAAAATATATATATATAAGTCGAAACAAATTTTTTCTAATACGTCATCACCCCTCACCCGTTCCCTTTCCTCCCTTCCCTCCCACCCAAAAGAAAAAACAAACCGAAATATAAAACTTACTGACGTGACGTAAAACCACGTCATGTTTTTTTTTTTTTGTTATTTCCACGAAAGTGTGTAATTAGAATAACCATAATTAAAAACATCCAAAAAAGGTTTTTCGAAATAATAATAATAATAATTACTAACTAACTTTTTATTACTAAATAAAAAAAAAAACAGAAAGAAATTTTTTTTTTTTTTTTTGGGGAGGTACGTACGTAAGTTGCGTGAGAAAAAAAAAAAAGAAAAATTAATTAAGTAATAAAACCGATTGTTGGTAATTAAGTAAAAGTCTCCATTTTTTTTTTTTTCTTTGTACATTTTCAAAACGTTAGAAATTTATTATTATTATTATTATCATCATTACGGTCGACAAAATGAAAAGAGAAAAGTCGTGCGAATTTTTAAAAAAAAAACAATAAAATTGTTACAAAAAAAAAAAAAAGAAAAATTTTTCTTTCTTTAAGGTTGTTAACAAAAATCAACAACAACAACAACAACAACAAATTTTAGTTAATTAATTAATTAATTAATTTCTTTTTCAACTAAAAAAAACTTTCTGAGTAAAGATGTTATGTTAAACAACAACAACAACAGGTTTTAACAAATTAAACGTTATTATTATTATTATTATTTTAAATCCGTTAGAAAATTTTTTTTTTTTTTTTTTTTTTTTTTACAACGAGGTAAACGAGTTCAAAATTAAAAAAACAAAAAAAAGGGGGGGGAAAAATTAATCAAAATCAAGTTTTTTCATTTAAAAAAAAAAATCCCCTGAATTATTATTACACGTCATATGTCTACGTCATAAGTGCGTGTGCGTGTGTGTGTGTGCGCGTGTTTACGGTACGAATTTTTTTTTTTTTTTACAAAAAAAAGTTTTCTGGCAACTTCGAAAAAAAATAAAATAAATTCAATCATCAAATTTTGGCATTTTTACAAAAGAAAAAAAAAAAGGGATTTGGCCTTCGTTTTGAAAAAAAAAAAAAAATCCCCTACGGGATATCGTGTTAAAAATCACCTTTTAAACAATAATTTTTGATGAGAGAGAGAGAGAGAGAGAGAAAACTTTTTTCTCTTCTGCTTTTCACCCCCCAGCTTTCCCTCTTCGAAAGTTTTCGAATCGAAAATAAGAAAAGAAAAAAAATCAAAATCGAAAAAGGGTTAACGAAACTAAACCTTTCCATATTTCCCCCCTTTCCCAAAGAGATCGAAGGGTTGGGGGATGGTGGGGGGTAGGGGGTAATTTTATCGATTACCTTCATAATAATAATAATAATTTACTTCGATTATTATGGTTAAAATTATTAGTCACTCACCGTTTGTTCAGTTCATCCATCCATCCATCCATTACATCGTTTTTATTTTCATACTTGATTACTCATAATACCGATATAATTGTTTGTTGGTTGTTAGTTCAAAGTACGAAACAACAACAACCGCAACAAAAACAAACAAAATTTGATTTGTTGCCATTCTGAAATTATAATAATAATAATATTAGTGATTATTTTTTTTTTTCTTTTTTTTTTTCTTTTTTAAACAAATTTAATCTTTAACCCGAAATTACATATTTCGAGATAATAATTGTATCGAATCGCATATATCGAATCGTTCGTTCGAGAGACAAAAAAAAAGGCGGGAAAAAATTTAAATTTTCTATTATATGAAAAAAAAAAAAAAAAAAAAATTACTTATTTACGTAGTGAGTAATAATTTTTTTTTTTTTTTTATAATTTAATTACTAACTCCGCTCGCTAAAAAAAAAATATAATTTAATTACCGGTAATAAAAACTTTTTTGTGGTCACGTGACGAATCGGTAATAAATTTTTTTTTTTTTTGCAATGATAAAATTGGTAAAAAAAAATTTATTACTCGTAGTAATATATATTAAAAAAAAAAATTTTAATATAATTAAATTATCACCGAAAACGTGTCGAATTTTTTTTTTTTTCTGACCGGTTTTTTCTTTTTCTCCGCCATATTTAATAATAAAAAATTATTATTAGGTAATAAAATAATAATAATGATAATAATAAATTATCGGTATATATGTAATTTAATATTAAATTAACCGTTAAAAATTAGTTCAATAATAAAAATAAATACGTAAAACAAATATATGTATATATACGTCGTCGTACCTGAATCGTTATCATTATCATTATCATTATTATTATTATTATTATTATTATTTTTATTTTACGAGTACGTCAATCACGAACGATAAAAAAAAAAAAAAACAAGGTCCGATTTAAAAAAAAAAACCGTAGCAGGATTTGAGTTTCAAAAAGTAGAAAATTACCTTCGAGTTGTTATCATTATTATTATTATTATTTATTTATTTAAATTAAGAGCAACGGAAAAAAAATCGGGTGGGGGGAAGGTAGGGGGGGCTTAAGGGGATTTGACGTTAACGACCGAGTTTAAATATAAATAAAATAAATTTTTTTTTTTTTTCGTTTGGATTTTTAAAATTTTTATAAAAATAGGTAATAATAAATTTGCGAAGACATTTTTTAAAAAAAATTTTCGAACCGGTGGTGG